TCCTCAGACACATCCTGACGGTAAGGACACTGATCCTGGATCAGGAGCGTCAGGACGACCGCAAACATCTAGTGGTGGAAGAATTAGTCGAGTTAACACCCTTAAATGTGTAATATTTAGTTGAATCATCTCATTCATTCGGTTATCAAACCTCTGCAGGACTCAGAGAAGACGTCCAAGACTCGGGGTAAGATGCTGAGGCTGCTGGAGATCCTGCAGAGCACCGCCCCCCAGGGACTAGGATCCACACCTGAGGAGAGCAGTGGAGGACAGAGACCACAGACCACTGAACCCCAGACAGACAGGTACTGGAACCACCGCCCTCCTGGATCTCGTCTGTTGGTTTTTATGTCTCGGTGTGACGGTGACGTGAACACAGATGATTTCATGTCAATGAAAACCCAGAACACAGTGCAGATGTTTCCTCACAGCAGCACAGTGAGCTGAGGCTCGAGTCCCACCGGAACCAGATTGGTGTTAACTGGTCCCATCGGATTATTGATGTATTTAAATAACGATGCACTCCACTCTTTGTAGTTGCATTGTGTCACTTTGTAGCCGTTCTGTGTCTCTTTGTAGTTGTTTGTTGTCTCTTTATAGTCATTTTGTGTATCTTTGTAGTCGTATGTATCTTTTAGTTGTTTTGTGTGTTTGTAGTTATTCTGTTTTTCTTTGTTGATGTTTAAAACACATAAAACTGACCCTTTGGGCCCTGGTCGTGTGCCCGGTAGGCCCGTTCAGTAATCCATCCATGTGTCCTCCACAGAACACAGACCCTGAACCTGGCTACAGATCCGTTGTACCTGATGGCCCGCTACAGACCGGGGGACCTGGGCTTCGTACCCCGGCCCACGTGGAAACATAAACCAGCCTCCTCCAGCACGGGAGCTCAGCCGCCTCCCAACAGGTCTGTCAGGGAGCAGTCTGTCTGCAGGGGAGCAGTTATTCCAGTGTGGACATGTGTCCACACAGAACTCTGCTCTTTGTTTAAATGACGTCACTCTGTCCGTCCTGAGGGACGGACAGAGTGACGTCATTCAGAGTGTCTGCGGACAGAAGAGATCGATGAACGTTTTACATCACAAATAAAGCTTTTTAGACACTTTAATCCTGCTTCTGCTCTTTAGTATTGATAGGAACGACATTTAGAAGACACATACATGAAATTTGACCCATCCCTGTATATAGGGAGCAGTGGGCTGCCAATGACAGGTGCCCGGGGTTCAGTGTCTTGCTCAGGGACACTTCGACACGTGGCACGTCCCAGTCGAGGATCGAACCGTCGACCCTGCGGTTACCAGACAACCCTCTTAAGCCAGTGAGCCACGGTCGCCCATATGCACCATATTTACAAATATGGTGGAACAAATGTTTTTTACACAGCTAGTTGGTATGAAGTCATAGTTTTTGTAATTAGAGTTAAAATTGGGTCAGATCATCTGAGCATCACGTCTTTACGAGAGATTAAAAGCAAACACTGAGTCACAGATTAGAGGAAGAAGCAGATCAAAATGTTGAGCCAAACTGAGGTCAGACTGATCAGCTGCTACGGTCCGCTCACTTTGAACCGTCGCCACCATTTAAACCCAGAGAGCCTCACAGTGAGGAGAGAACGACAACGAGGGAACACAGAACTCTCTGCACCTGCAGCACCGTCTTCCTCATGCTTCATTCTGAAACTCAGAACAATGAGGTTCAGATTCCTACTAATTACGGTCCACCGTGGACAGACCCAAAGAGCCAACACGTTTGTTCTTGTTCTAAATGAGGTCAACGAACTGAAGAAGCCCTCCTCCCTCAGAGAAACAGGGTTTGCATCTTCACTTTTTTTATTTCACATTCAACAGAAACACTTTAATACATTTATATAAAGATGAATTTAATTTGAGCTCAGAGATCCAGAGAGGAGAAAGTGTGAGATGAATTATGAAGGATAAATCCAACATACCGTCTGAACATTGAAGTAGACGTTCTTCAAAGAAAGAAGGATTTGCATATTTCACCTATTAATATTTATGCAAAACTACAGTACGTAGCTCCACCCACAGCCTGGTGTTAGAAAGCTTTGAGAGCAGAAAACGTCAACTCTTTATTCATTCTGGAGATTAGTCCTCAAAGCTCGACTCCATCTCAGAATTTAAACAGTCGATTTGTGCTTTCAGCCATTTTCAACCATAAAAATGCTGATTTAAATGAATCCAGTATGAAATATGAAAACTCATCACATTTAGTTTATAGCTTCAGAAAGAAGAATTCAGTTACTCTTTAATGCTCCTGATCCGAGGACGAGAGCCACTGAAATTAAATAAAAAACAGCTTCCTGTTTATAACGGAGGATAAAACGAGCTCATTATGTCCCACGTCTGTACGATCAGCACCGACATCCTGCAGTCTGAACCAAGGATCACATCGAGCTCTGGCTCTAATGGCTTTATTTGTGAACGAGCTTCAGTGTGTTGGTGCTGCAGCGCCTCCTGCTGCTCAACACAGTTCATCACTTAACTGAGCAAAAACCTTCAGATAAAAGTTTCATGCTTGTTAAATATACAAATGAGATGTTTTACTTAAGAGTTCTGAGCGTATATTTACTTTTATTAGCAAATATTGTCTTTATTAATATTCATCATGTGCTTCACCTCTGAACACAACCTGCTGATTCATAGAAACACAAAGTGAACAATTCAAAAAGGAATTTATTTAAGTGAAACACAGCGACAGTGAAAGCTTTGCTAAAACTTTAGTATAAATATATAAAAATGATTTATTTCACATGTGGAAGTAAAACGGGTCAGAGCTTTAAAAGAACAAAGTATGAACATCATATTAAAATGTATTTCCCTCTTGAAGGAATAATCTTTTGAGATTCATATTTCACTGGTTGAATCTCTGGTTTCATTTGCAAGTCAAAGTGTTTTTTGGGGAAAAGAACAAACTCATGACTGTCCTGTTAAAACACTTCCTCTCATAGTTTAGCCGTTATTCCTCCAGGTTATTAGATCATCATCTGATTTCTGCCTCCACACAAATACTAAAAAAAAAACATTTAATAAATAAACTGTAACAGCTGTTTACAGACAGATGTATAAACCAACAGAAGGAACTACTTCCTAGTGAGGAAAGATTAACCGAAAGTTTTCTGAGAATTCATATTTAACCTTCGCCTGAAAAACCAGGACGTCTGAAACCAGATCTATCCGCTGAGAGTTCCTGTAGCCGAGCGTCTGTGTGCGTCACGCTCAGCTGATATTTGCATACTTCCTGTTTCACAGCAACAACAATACACATCAACAGGTAACATTCAGCCGCTGGGTTTCTCTTGTTAAAGTGCTGAAAGGTTAAACAGTATGACGAGTTTATAGATATTATTATTGATATTATTTTAGGTCAGTAACAGGATGTTTAAATACAGATTTTATGTCCCAAAAGGAAACTACGTTCATGTTTCAGCCAACAGAGACTTCGAGCTTGTAACATCACAAACCCTCCATTGATCTTTTACTTAGTCGTACAACACGTCTACGCTTCAGCTCATCGGCCATCTTGTTTTACTTAAACCGTCTTCTTTGCAACATGAAACTCGAGACGTTAAAAAGCGGTGATTTTGTGCATTTTCCCCCCCCAAAAAAAACAACAACTTGTATTTGAAGCTTCTGCCAGAGAGTCAGTCGACTACGTCACAGTGCCGTCTGACTGGTCATGTAACCGTTTAGCACATCTGGATCCTCCAACCAGCACTGGGACAGATGTTGCTCATCAACTGCATCCAGGCGGTGGAGTTTTTACCGTTTTTTTCTCTGCCACAGAAATAAAAAAGATAAAAGAAGCAGAGGGGACGTGACCTCACTCACTAGTTTGGGAAGACGAAGAGGAAGACGATGATGCCCGTGAGCAGCACCAGCATCAGCACCACGGACGTCAGGAGGAAGAAGCGGCACGCCGGCCGACCCGTCAGCCGGAACAGAGCTTCACCGAGGCCGCCGTCGCTGCCCGCACTGCCGCCGGCCCCTGGGGGAAGGGTGGGGAGCCCCACGTCCAGAGAGCCTCTCTCCGACCGCAGAGAGGACAACGACCTCTGAATCCACCGCTCACGACCTTCAGACGACCTTTGGGAGAAGAAGTGAAGCTGTGAATTTTATGATAAATTAAAATATCTTTAATCTACAAGATGGTTTGCTTTTGTTAACGATGAATGGAAAAATGTTTCATGTTCTCCTGATCACCTTTTGACCTGCAGCTTCCCCTTGTTGCGCAGGAAGCGGATGCTGTAGACTCTCTGCATGGCGGCCGGCAGGTAGGACAGCATGTCCGAGTTGGTGGCGAGCCTCGGCAGCCCGAGGGCCGGCAGCGCGGTGTGGCTGCGGCACAGCGGGCACCGGATGGCGTCGGGCTCGGCCGACTTGACGTTGATGCGCGCCAGGCACTCCAGGCAGAAGGTGTGCTTGCACTGGAGCATCTTGGGACAGCGGAAGACGTTGTTGAACTGGCTGAAGCAGATGGAGCACTCCAGGTCCGGAGGGTCGACCTCGGCGCACTGAGTCGCACCGAGAGGGGACGGGCGGAGGTCCGGGGACGGGAATATGACGGAGACGTGGCAGGTGGGGGGGGTGGCGGCGACGGTGGTGGAGGGGTAAGGGTTCGGCGTGGGAGACGAGACTGAAACGAGGCTGGGCTGAGACCAGGATCTGAAGAGGGAGCCCGAGTCTGGAGGGACCAGGTCGAGTCCTCCGTCTTGGTCCGACGAGGTCCGATAGTGAGCGGAGTTAAGGCTCAGAAACGACGAGGACCTGTGACCCGTCTGGACGGCCGCCGGGGAGGCCGACAGAGGTGCATTATGGGAAGTGTCGTGAGGGTCAGAGGGTAGAAATGTAAGTGGTCTTGTGTTTCCGTAGGGATTCATGACTTGTGACGAAGGAGCGAGTTTAGCGAAAAAGAAGAAGAAAGTAAGGCTCCGAGGAGACGATGAACACGTGAAGGATGCGTCGAGTCTTCCGCCGTCACATGGAGGATGATGAAGGAATGACGAAGATGCTCCTGGTGCAGCCTCAGTCTTCAAACCAAAAACACAGAAAACAAACGGGATTAACTGCTGCAGTCAGGAGACAACCTCTAGAAGCTAAAGCTTCATGTGTTAAAGCTGCATTCTCTCTAGTGTCCACCAGG